GGAACCTTCACTCTGGGAGTCTGCGGTCTGTGCGCCTGTTGCCTGCGCTGCCTGCCTCTCGGGTCAACCGGGAGAACCCTCTTCGGTGGCGCTGGGCTTCGACGTCCACGCGAACGCCTCAAGGAGATGGGGGTGTGGGTGGGTGAGGGGTGGGGTGGATGTGGGGGAGGGGGTGGGGGTGGAGTGGGGGGAGGGGGTGGATGTGGGTATGGGGGAGGGTGTGGGTGGGGTGGGGTTGATGTACACGGAGTATTACACGGAAATAGGTGGGATGAGGCATTAAGCATCGACTTTTTGTGTGTGTGTGTGTGTGTGTGTGTGAAGTATGTTATGTGTGTGTCTGTGTATAATGAACGTGTATAACGTATATGTATATGTATCATGCGCATGTATAATGTATATGTATAATGTATGATGCATAATGTATATGTCTATGTTTATGTATATGAATCCCCTATGCTCTACTGAAAGGGAAAGGGCCAGCCACGCCCAAGCAAGCAGGCGAATGTACACTCTACTCGTTCCTTGGAGGGAAAACAACCAAAGGAAAACAACTTGTCATTTGATCAATTTCCGTTTCTGTCTGTCTGTCAGTTCTGTCGTTTAATGTCTGTCTGACTTTCTTGTCTAGTTGTTTGCTGTCTATTTTCCGATCAGCCTGACTCTCTTGTCTAGTTTACTGTCTATCTTCCTATAAGTCTGTCTCTCTTGTCTAGTTTACTGTCTATCTTCCTATCAGTCTCTCGCTAGTTTACTGTCTATGTCTGTCTCTCTTGTCTAGTTTACTGTCTACCTTCCTATCAGTCTCTCGCTCTTGCCTAGTTTACTGTCTATCTTCCTATAAGTCTGTCTCTCTTGTCTAGTTTACTGTCTATCTTCCTATCAGTCTCTCGCTCTTGCCTAGTTTACTGTCTATCTTCCTATAAGTCTGTCTCTCTTGTCTAGTTTACTGTCTACCTTCCTATCAGTCTCTCGCTCTTGCCTAGTTTACTATCTTCCTATAAGTCTGCTCTCTTGTCTAGTTTACTGTCTACCTTCCTATCAGTCTCTCGCTCTTGCCTAGTTTACTGTCTATCTTCCAATCAGTCTGTCTCTCTTGTCTAGTTTACTGTCTATCTTCCTATCAGTCTCTCGCTCTTGCCTAGTTTACTGTCTATCTTCCTATAAGTCTGTCTCTCTTGTCTAGTTTACTGTCTACCTTCCTATCAGTCTCTCGCTCTTGCCTAGTTTACTGTCTATCTTCCAATCAGTCTGTCTCTCTTGTCTAGTTTACTGTCTATCTTCCTATCAGTCTGTTCTCTCTAGTTTACTGTCTACCTTCCTATCAGTCTCTCGCTCTTGCCTAGTTTACTGTCTATCTTCCTATCAGTCTGTCTCTCTTGTCTAGTTTACTGTTTATCTTCCTATCAGTCTGACTATCTTCCTATCAGTCTGTCTCTCTTTCTGTACCGTCTGTTTGTTTGCCTCTCTCCCTCCTCTCTGTCTCTCTCTCTTTCTGTACTGTCTGTTTGTTTGCCTCTCTCCCTCCTCTCCGTCTGTCTCTCCCTCTTCCAAGCGTGAAAATGAAACGCCCTATTTTTCCTTTCGCGAAATATATGTTCCACGCGCAAAAGTTAAAGCCACGTGTCTCAACAGAAGCAGATGTGGGAGAGTGAAGGGCATGAAGATGCGAAGATATTGGATATCAAGACAGGGAATAGAGGTGAAAATCCTACTCCTAATAATAACAATGATCTTCTCTCATCATATCTTTGCAGTATGTATAGATATAAATAAATTTGATACACACAAACATCCACACATACATACACACACCACACATATACATATATATGTGTGTGTGTGTGTGTGTGTGTGTGTGTGTGTGTGGTGTGTGTGTGTGTGTGTGTGTGTGTGTGTGTGTGTGTGTGTGTGTGTGTGTGTGTGTGTGTGTGTGTGTGCGTGTGTGTGCAGGCATATATATACATATATACATAAACATATACACATACAATTACACATATATACATTTTATTCAGCTATATATCTATCTATATAACTACACACACACATACACACACACACATATATACACCCACACACACATATATACACCCACACACAAACATATATATACACACACCACATACACACACACACATATACACACACACCATACACACACACACACACACACACACACACACACACACACACACACACACACACACACATATATATATATATATATATATATATATATATATATATATATATATATATATATATATATAAGGCACGGCCTAAATCTAATAATGGTTCCGTTCCAATCCCGAGCCGGACCCCATCCAGGTTGGTCAAGGCAAACATTCGTTCAAACAACTCGTCTGCTTGTCTATCCGTTTCCCTTAATCCCCGAATTATCTTTTTATTTCTTTCATTTCTTTCTTGCTTTCATTTTTTAAAATTTCTCCTCAGGTTATGCATTTTAGGTTTTTGAATGAAGGGGAGGGGGAGGGAGGGGGAGGGGAAGGGGGGAAGGGGGGGGAAGGGGAGGGGGGAGAGGAAAAGAGGAGATAGATAGATAGATAGAGAGAATCATTTCATCATTTTTTATTCCGTAATAGACGAGAAACGACGAAAAGAAAAACAAGGGAATATATCAGAGCAATACAAGTTAAAATAAAATAAAACGTAAACGAAAGAAAGCAAAAGAGAGAGACAAAGGGAAAAGCAAGCCAACGAGAATAAAACTTAAAATAAACACAATAAAGAAAGGAGAAACAATAAATGAAAGGAAAGAAGGAAGGGGGAGGGGGGAGGGGGATGGATAGATAGATAGATAGAGAGAATCATTTCATCATGATTTTTTATTCCGTAATAGACGAGAAAACGACGAAAAGAAAACAAGGAAAATCTCAGAGCAATACAAGTTAAAATAAAATAAAACGTAAACGAAAGAAAACAAAAGAGAGAGACAAAGGGAAAAGCAAACCAACGAGAATAAAACTTAAATAAACACAATAAATAAATAAAGAAACAATAAATGAAAGGAAGAAAGGGAGGTCTTCTCAGCGTTGCCAATGTGCCGACGCGAGGGACAGGGTTACCAACGCACGTCTGACCCTTGGCGACCTTAGCTTCGACCTTGACCGCAGGAGGGAGGGAGGGAGGGAGGGAGGGAGGGGAGGGAGGGAAGAGAGGGGAGGGAGGGGGGGATATCAGATGACGGCGGATAAAATGGCGGTCACTGAGGTCAAATGATGAAAGACAGAGAATTCCACTATTCCAAATAACGATGGTAAATAAAGATTATGTATTACTTTGCTGGGATATAAATTCCAGAATTACGATAGAGCTATGTGCTAATTGACATTTTTTTTCGAGGTCACTTTTTCAACTATAACTTTTAAATTGCAATTGGATGTAATTGACTTTTGCGAATGTTGCATTTTCATCAGATTTATAATCAGAGCTGTTTGCCACATCACCGTGTCGTATCTTCATCAAAATCAAAATTACTGAAATCAGATATCATTATTTTTTTCGCTAGCGCACAAGCACAAGCACACGCACGCACGCACGCACGCACACGCACGCACACGCACACGCACACGAACACACACACACACACACACACACACAACACACACACACACACACACACACACATTTGGCCAAAGGAACTAAAAGATTATGTATAGCGCTCGCTGATTGGTGGAATTGCCTTATTAGAGCCCTCTGTTGGCTACCATCAGAATGAGTCGATTTACGATCGTAACTCCGGCGAGGCGAGTTACCATCCGAATCTGGTAAATGCGATGGTAACTGACCACTCGTAAATGCGTTACGATCAGAAAGTAAATACAAGCGAATCCGAATGATAAGCTGCCACGGAAAGACCCGGATGAAGACCCAGGGCCCGTAATGGCGGCCGGGGAAGCGCAACGAGCACCTGGGGGTTAATTAGGAGAGACGAGACTCCCGTGTTTTGGGGGAGGATTCCTGGTCGGGGGAGAAGGACACGGGGAGAGAGGAGGACACATAGGGGGGGGGGGGGTGAGAGAAGGATCCACAGGGGGTGGAGGTGGAGAAGGATCGACGAAGGGGTGGATATCAGTATGCTTTCAGTATATTGCAAGTAAACTTAAACTCTTATAAGTATGCTATAGTATGCTCTAAATATTTTGTAAGTATACTTAAACTGTTATAAGTATGCTATAAATAAGCCTTAAGTATTCTATCAGTATGCTTTAAGTATGCTATTAGAATAATATAAGTATGGTATAAATATGCCTGAAGCATGCCATAAGAATGAGTACCTTTTCAGTCAATATCTACGCACCGTTATCAATTTGAATTTCTCTTCAATAGATTCTTGTGTATTTTCAGAATCAAATCTTGCAACAGGATGATAAGATATCCCAGATAATTTTTAATTTTCTTCCCATTTAAACAATAATAGTTTTCTTTAGACACAAATACGTAAATAAATGTTTTGTATTTCTCTGATATTTTGGAAGGAAACTTGTAACATGTCGGTCCCACATACGAGTTGTCAATTTGGCTTTTACTGATATCTTAATCCTGCAATATAACAGGAAATATGAAAACGAATATGTTTGTATATGTATGTATGTGTGCATGTATGTATGTGTGTGTGTGTGTGTGTGTGTGTGTGTGTGTGTGTGTGTGTGTGTGTGTGTGTGTGTGTGTGTGTGTGTGTGTGTGTGTGTGTGTGTGTGAGAGAGAGAGAGAGAGAGAGAGAGAGAGAGAGAGAGAGAGAGAGAGAGAGAGGAGAGAGAGAGAGAGAGAGAGAGAGAGAGAGTGAGAGAGAGAGATGAGAGTGAGAGTGAGTGAGAGTGAGAGTGAGAGTGAGAGTGATGAGTGAGTGAGTGAGTGA